TTCTACTCTACCAGTACTCTCACTTTGTCCTCCTGTTATCTGCAATCATGGCCCTTGGATATAAAATATAGCAAAGTTTGTAACAACAATCAGGAACACCATGTTTGTTTCTGACTAAAATATATCTAGCAGTAAGTTGGCCATTTCAAAAATCTCATTCAACTGGTAGAAGTTTACTTTCTATATAACTCATTGAAAACCATTTTTTAAAAAAAACTTTTGTATAAATATTAAATCTTCATGTGGACACTAGTTATTCAGTCATGAAGCACAAATTTTATAGTCTGTGGCTATTTGTCCTATATGACTCATGAGTCATCTTGCAGTAGAAAGTTTGTTAATACTATGAAACATCTCAGTGAAACAGCCAAAAGGACTGTCCAGAGTTTGTCCTTCTATTTAAATGACCATCCATGCATTAAAATATCTTTAAAAAAGCTAAGCAAAACAAAGAGAGATTATAGAGATTATGACACATAGATGTGTCACAGAAATAAAAAGAAATGCATTGAAGATGGCAGAAAGGACAGTTTTATTACCGGAGTCATCCCTCTCCCATCCACATGCAGCATAGAGTGGAGTTATTCTACATGTGGGAGAAGACAAAAGAAGTGAGATCAACCTGTGCCTTCAATCTCATGGATCTTCTCTAGTAAACCCAGAACCAGTGGCCTCCACAGTCACAGAAACCAGACCAGTACATTTAGATGGAGACTCCAGGCCCATCTCCATGCCACAATAGACATCATTGCACCAGGCTGGTCTGGCTGACTACCTATAAGCCAGCTCTATCACAAGGCCACTGTATAAGACCCAGATTCTAGACTTTCCCCTACACCAGGCTGGTCTTCACAAATCCAGACCTCAGGCTCATCTCAGACCTAGGCCAGCCCACATATCCTGACCCATCTGGGTGACACTGTAGACTCTGTCTTCAACCCAGCCCCTAGGCATACAGGCTCCACAGCACCCAGCTCCAGACTAACCCCTGTGGACCCAGGCTCCAACTCTGACCCAGGTTTAAGACCTTTGTTGAAGCAGTTTGACTCATACAGTCATAGGCTCCAGGCCTTCCTTAGTACAGTGTTTGGCACTCCTGGTCTCAGGGTATTAGTGACTCTACTTCATGAGAACTTTGGTCCAGGAACATGTCATGACCCTAATGCTATACCAGTTTACGCCTGTGGACTCAGAATCCAGGCTTACCCAGTACTGGGATAGCCCATGTGGACACAGAATCTTGTCCTGTCCCAAATGATCCAGATATTTGGCCAATCCTATAACTCAGCCAATATTTAAACCCAGACTCAGGTTCTTAGGTCTTAGGTTCTCTTTGGTTCTTCATGTTTCTTGTTGCCTTCATGGCCTTCCATTTGAAGAAGGAGGGTCCTATTCCAGTCTATTTAAACTAGTTATTTTTTTTTTCCTGGAAAAGCCCTTCACCAGTCAGCTCATTCGGAGTTATTGGGGAGGTCATCTGTCATGGTACTTGTATAAGCATTCTGCTGGTATCCTGGAGTAGACTGGCCTATTATCTGATTCCACACATAGTTAGGTCTGGAGTCTGGATCCACTGTGGTGGGTCTTTTGATTGGATATGTGTGGGTTGACCTAAGCCTTTGTCTCCAAGGGTTAAGCTGAAACCTGGGTTCCCAGGGGTTGGCTGGCAATGAAGTAAACCCTGACCTAAGAGCACAAGAAGAATACAATAATGTCTCAGTAACTAACTATAAAGAAATGGAGATATTAAAAACTGCCTGAAAAATAATTAAAAATAATTGCTTTGAGGAAGCTCAGTAAAATTCATGAAAACATACACAAATGATCCAATGAAATCAGAATAATAATAAATTGCAAAACACAAAAATTATAAAGACATCAAACTTTTTGAATATTAATTCTGAGCTGAAAAATACAATAAATGAAATAGAAAATGCAATAGAGCATATCAACAGCATAATTAACTAGGCAAAAAGAAGAATTTGAGAACTTCAAGAAAGGTTATTTGCAAATATGCAGAAGAGAAAAAAGAAAAGAGAATAGAAATAAATGAGGAAAAGTTATTTGATTTATGGAACAGAATCAAAAAGAAAATATTTGACTTATCAGAATTCAATAAAAAAGAGAAAAATAAGAGGATAGAAAGGATGTTTAAAGAAAAAAATTTAAAACTGAAAAGATATAAATATCCAAGTACCAGAAGGTCAAAGTTCTCAAATCAGATTCAATCTAAATGAGACAATAGATAAAATAGACTTTAAGTCCCAACTGTAAAGTGAGACCGAGAGCATAACTATGTAATGAATAAAGATGTCCATTCATAAAGAAAATATAAAATATGTGCATCTAATACTGAATCACCTAAACATATAAAGCAAATATGAAAATATTGCTAAGATAAAATGTAATACAATAGTATTAGTGAACCTCAATACCCCACCTTCAGCAATGGAAACAAATTGTTATTCAAACAGAAAATTTAGACTAGTTGGACCTGACAAACATTTATGGAATAGTTCATTCAACATGTGAATTTTATAAATATGATACACTACATTAAGTGAATGGGGGATGAAAGCCCCATGAATATCTCAATACAGTACATGTGAAAAAATTGGCAAAATACAATATTTTTTCATAATAAAAAATCAACAAATTAAAGAAGGAATGTACCTCAAAACAATAAAGGCCACATATGACAAAATCAAAGTTGATATACTTAATGGTGAAAATATGAAAGTTCCAAGATCAAGAATGAGAAAAGGAAGCCTACTTTTATCTTCTATTCAACATAGTACAGAAGTACTAGCCAGAGCAATTACACACACACACACACACACACACACACCCTCCACCCACCATACAACAAAAGCCATCCAGGTTGAAAAGAATGTAATTTAATTTTCTGTTTGCAGATGACATGATCATATATGTAAAACTCTAAAACTCTATGAAAAAGTAGTAGAACTTATAAATAAATTCAGTAAATTTATAGGATACCAAATTTACATACAAAATCAGCAGTGTTTCTTCCACTAATAAAGAACTACCTAAAAAAAGAAATTGAGGAAATAACCCCACTAACAATAGCTTTAAAAATTTAAAATCCTTAGGAATAAATATAATCAAGGAAGAGAAAGACATGTACACAGAAAACTATAAAACATTCATGAAAGAAACTGAAGATACCAATAAATGGAAAATGCCCCAAGTAAAAGGTTGTAAGACTTAATATTGTTAAAATGTTTAAACTCCCCAGAGCAATCAACAGACTCAATGCAAACTTTATCAAATTTCCAGTGATATTTTCCATAGGCTTAGAAAAATGAATCTTGAAATTAACTTGAAATCACAAAAGATCTCAATAGTCAAAGCCCATTTTGAGCAAAAATTATAAATCTTTATGCATCTAACTACCTGACTTCATTCAGCTACGGCTAAAATATGAGGTGTTCCAAAAAATCTCATATGTGAGACAATTCAATAAAGGTTAGGGATGAAATGATTGGGTTATGAGAGCCTGAACCCCATCAATGCATTAATCCTGTGATAGGGATTAACTGGGTGGTAATTGTAGGCATGTTGGGTGTGGCCGAGGGAGGTGGGTCATTGCGAGTGTGTCTTTAGTGAGGGGAATCTCTGCTTCTTTGTGTCACCACCTGAGTTGCTTTCCTCTGCCATATTCTTCTGTCTGATGTTCTGCTTCATTTTGGTCCCAGATCAATGGAGCCCGCTGTCCATGGACTGAAATGTCTGAAACTGTAAGCCCTAAATAAACTTTTATTCCTCTAAAATTGTTCTTGTCAGGTCTTCTGGTGACAATAGTACAAAAGTTGACTAAAACATACTCCAAACTATGATGATTGCAATGCCATGGTGCTATTATAGAAACAGACACATAGACCAATAAAATAGAATGGAGAACTTAACAATACATACATGCATTGATGATCAATTAAATTTTCAACAAAGATGCCAAGAACACGTAATGGAATAGGATAATCTCTTCAATAAATGATGTTGGGACAACTGAATATCCACCAGTTGACAAATGAACTTAGACATATATTTCATATCATACACAAAAATCAACATAGATTAAAGACATAAAACTACCAAAGGGGGAAAAAGGCAAAAACAAAAATCTAGAAACAAAGAACACACAGAGGGGAAAAGCTCTATAACATCTATAATAGCAATTCAGGAAATGAATTTTTGGATATAACTCAAAAGCACAGGCCACAAAAGTGCAAATAGATAAATGGTACAATATCAAAGTTAAAAAAAAAAAAAAAAACAGCCATAGAAACAACTAATTGGGCTAAAGAGACAACTTATGGAATAGGAAAAATATTTGGAAATAATACATCTTATAAAGGGTCTGTATTCAAAATATAAAAAGAATTCAAACCACTCAATAGCTGGAAAAATAATACAATTTAAATGTGGGCATTTATGAAAATATAACTTACAAATGACTAACAGACACATAACAAACTGTTCAACATTACTGTCACCCTTGTTAGAATGGCTTTTATCAAAAAGACAAAAATAAGTGCTGGAGAGGATGTGAGAGAAGGAGTAACTTTTTATACTGTTGGGAATATAAATTCATAGAGCTATCAAGGAAAACAGTACAGAGTTTCCTCAAAAAAAGTTAAAGATATAACCACCATAATATTCAGTGATCCCACTTCTGGGATCCAAGGAAAAAGAAGTCAGTATATAAAGAAGAAATTAACTCTCCCATGTTTATTGCAGTATTATCCACTATAGTCATGATATAGATAAACTCTGAGGACATTTTTTTTTCAAGAGGGGACCAGAAAGCTTTTTAATAATAAAATGACACCTTCACCACCCAAGCCTTTGTCAATTTTTTCTTCTGTTATCTCATCCACATCAGCCTGCTGCTTCCAGAAGGGCTCTGCCTTCCAATTTTATGCTGCTTAGGATGCCAGTCTATCACTTTGCCTTAATATTGTAATGGGGTCCCTAAGTTAGCTGAGGAACCTGGAAAAGTCTTCTTTGATCTCAGCTTCATCCCAAGGTCCATGAATGTTCTCTTTAAAAAGCTGCAGGCGAATGAGGTAGAAAGGGCAGAGACAGGAGATGGAAACCAGCAGAAGAGCAAAGAGTATGGCTCCCACTGCACTCATGGAGAGCAGGCCTCCAAGGCCTGAGAAGGCAAAAAGCATTGTGACCCCCACATAGCTGCAGGGAGTACAGGCCTTCAGTTTCTTCTGTAACATGGGCCACAGTGCAAAAATCTGGATGGCAAACGTCACCATGACGAAGGCAGGCACGGACTGGGGAAGACGTGAGGCCAGGCAGACAGAAGCAAAGATGGCCATGTTCAAGGACAGTGTGCTGGATACAATGGGGTCATTGGCTCCAGAGTCAAAGAAGATGAGGTGGCCCAACAGCTTGAAGACTGACATGGCATAGATGGTGTCAGTGCTGACGGACTCTATCAGGGTCTTCAGCACTGGTGAAAACCCCTAAGTGAAAGCAACGAAGACTAGGGCACTCTTCAGGTCAGCCCACCGGGTCCGGCCGCTCATTTTCCGCCCTTCACCACTATCAATGAGATCAAACAAAACATATCCCATCAATGAAGATGCCAGGCCAGTTCCAAAGAGCCAGTGGGGGGCCAAAAGACCCTCATCCATATACCACCAGATGACCACAAAAACACAGACGCTGCACAGCTGTTGTATCACCACACTGGACTCAAAGACCACAGCCCAATGTTGGTATTTTCGGGCATAGATGTTTTTCCGGAGCTCTTCCAGGAACCGCCGGTCCACATAGTTATCAGGGAGGGGCTGCGGCTCATACAAGACCTTCTGCCACTTGGCCTCCTTGGTGCGAGTTACAGATTGGGCACACATTATCTTCTCCTTTCCCTTAAACTCAGGCCAGTTCAGTCTCGCTCAAGTAAGCCCATGTGGTTTTCCTTTTTTTTTTTTTTTTTAAATAAGATTTCTCTGGAAATTCCATGCCATTACCTACCCACCTTTTCTTGTTTTCAAAGCCAGCAACCCAGGCTAGGCCCACAATGGATGCAGTTGTTCTCTGAGGCAAGACGACACAGACAGACTCCTAGAAAAAGAGACCTGCCTTGGAGTTCCTAGGGTGCACTGCCAACGCGGGAGGCCGCCCACCGGGTTCCCCTTCGGGGAATAGAGAATAGAACAGTGATGGCAAAGAGCTGGTTGAGAAGATGTCAAAGTATAAAAAAAAAAATCTCAGGTAAACAATATGAATAAGTTCATGAGATCCATTGTACAACACGGTGACAATTGTCAATAACAATGTGTTGTATTGTTGAAAATCAGTGAGAGTATATTTTAAATGATCTCACACAAAAGACAAGTTGTGAGGTAATACCTATGTTACATACTTGATTTAGACATTCTCCCAAATAAACACATTTTGAAACATCATGTTGTATACAATAACTATGTATAATTGTTTATCAATTAAAGAAAGAAATAAAATTGAAACATTCATAAGTTTCAATGAAGAGTGTGGAAAAATTTTATCTCTGAAATCAGATTGGCTGGATTTGAGTCCCAACTTTACTTCTTCCTTAACCATGAGAACTGTACATCTGTCTTCTGGGGTTTTATCAGTTTCCATCAGTGGAGTTAATAATAGTACCTTCCACATAAGCTATGAGGATTAAATAAAATAATTCATAAAGTACTTGACAGACTGACTGGCACAAAGTTAGCTTTCTATAAATATTACTTATGATAATTTTTAGGAATCATAAATAAGATTTTTAAATACATGGGTTATCTGCTATCATCAGAACGTTTGCATGCTGGTTACATAGTGAGTTTTGCAAATGGAATGAATTTATATTCTTAATCAAGTATTTGTATATGTTATTAATCTTTGCACCCCCAAGACCTACAGAGTTCCTAGAATTGCATGTCATAGGCATGAACAATTTTCTTATCTGATGATCAGAGAGATGAATGATAATAAGAATACTGCGTGTTGAAATAAAATGAAAATGCGTAAAACTTCATTTTTTTTTCAAAAAAGATTGTTTTATTTATCAATTTCTATAAAATGAATCATACTTTTGAAGCATTTATTAAATTAAAATGGAATGAAATATAGTTATCCTGGAATTTCTGGATATTGGTCATACAAAGTATACTTAAATCATATAGTGGTATGTTCAGATCTTACCCTACTTGCTTGGAGAAGTACCAATTAAATTCCTTCTGTCTTACTCTCTTTCCCTACACTTTAGACTGATCTGTAACATCAGATAGAAATTGGGCTCTGAAACATTCTAGTCTACAGCTTATGGAAAAAACAGAATATGGTATGAAGTAAATGTCTTCTATTTAGCTTCCCTACCTTGGCAAATCTCTGAGTTATGATGTACTACCCTCACCTCACAGGTAAAAGTGATAACTCTCATTTGGGTGGTCAGAAGCCTTTTCAGGACATTTCTTAAAGTGCTAGTAGAAAAGAAAATGTTCTGCTTTAGGAACACAATGCTGGCAAGGCGTAATTTTGGGGCTTGCAGTCTATTTTCTCTTGATGCAGGGAGAAAGTCCTTATTTCTTCAGAAAGCAGCAGCCTGGCCTCCAGAAGAAAATAAATGAAAGCAATTGAGAATAAAGGATGTTATGGTTTGGATGTGAGGTGTCCCCCAAAAGCTCACGTGTAAGACAGTGTAAGAAGGTTTAGAGGAGAAATGACTGGGTTATGAGACCCTCAACCCAATCAGTGACAGGATTAACTGAATGGTAACTGAAGGTGGATTGGTGTGGCTAGAGGAGGTGGGTCATGGGGGGTGTGCCTTTTGGTTATATACTTTGTATCTGGCAGTGGAGTCTGTTTCTCTGCTTCCTGATCATCATGTGAGCCACTCCCCCTGCCACACTCTTGTGCCATGATGTTCAGCCTCAGCTAGAGCCCTGAGGAAAGGAGACAGCAGCCTATGTGCTGAGATCTCTGAAACTGTGAGCCCCTACGTAAACTTCTCCTCCTCTGCAATTGTTCTGCTTGGGTCTTTTAGTCACAGCATCTAAAAAGCTGACAAAAACAAGGGAGAAACTCAGTAAAAACATGACGCCCTGTATGTGTTTGAAACAACTTTGTTCACCTCCTTTAGGGGTTCCCAATTATCGAAGCCAATGTATTTTCTTTCTTAATTCAAGTTTGAGTTGTATTTTTGTCTCTTTTCTATAGTAAACGTCTTAGAGAAAAAATTGATATGACCTAAGTTTGAGTTATCACCTAGTATCTAAGTAAAGGAAATTAAACATTTTAAGGGATGTTATGAGATAAAACTAAGATATCTTCTTCTTTTACTCATAGATTATTAAAAATATTTATTAAACACTTACTATGTTCTGGAAGTTTTTCTTGAGTTGTTTAGGAGGTATCAACATACAAAACAGGCTAAAATTCTTGCCCTTGTAAAAGTTTCATTTTTATGGAGAGAAGAAGATTATAGAAAAGCATAATTAATGTGTAATACACAGTTTGTTTGAAGGTTATATTACTGGCAAATTATAAAGTGGTAGGGGGAAAATGTGGAGATAGGATCATGGGTATCAGAGAGACTATTATGAAAATTTTGTATACAGGAGTCAGAGTAGGTCTATTTGAGAATACAGGATTTGGCAAACTTTTGAAGAAGGTGGAGGTGAAGAGTTTTCCAGTTGACAGGCAGCCTTTGTGTAAAGGACCCCAGAGTGAGTGCACACCTGGAATATTTGAGAAATGAATGAAATTCAGGGTGACTCTAACAGTATCAGTACAAAGGAGAAGAAGGGGCAAACAGCCAGATTGCTGATGGGGGTCATCTTGTAAAGTGGCTTGTGAGTCATTTTAATTTTTTTCTAAATGAAATGAGGACTCATTGAGAATTCTGAATAGAGGAATGAGATGACTTCCAATTTGAAAGTAGACTGGGCTTCTCACTTGAGAGTAGCTCTTTTCAAGGAAAGTAAAGACAGGGGGAAAGAGACAAGTTAGGAAGATGCTGCATGAGAAATATTGAAAATTTATCTAAAATGAGAGCAATAGGGTAGTGTAAAACCATTAGTTACATAGATTTGAATGTAGAACTTATAGTATTTTTTTTTTTTCGGGTTTGATATAAAGCATGAGAGGAAGAGAGAAAATAAGACTGCTCTCAAGATTATTGCCTGAATGGGGAATTCTGAAAAGAGAAATCTTAGGGAAAAGATAAATAGATTCATTTGGGGCAGGGGTGTACCTCTGGCTACGGTACTTGCCTAGAATTTGCAAGGCCCTACATTTAACTAGCAGCAATGCAAAAACTAAACAAGCTTAATTCTGGATGCATTATATTTGAGATGCCCAATAGACTCACAAGTGAGATGTTCAATAGACAAAAGTTAAATATCAAAGTCTATGGATCATGACAGAGGTCTGATCTGGAAACAGGATAGTGAAAGTGGGAACCATTGGCTAACAGATGGGTTTTCAGTCATGAGAGTCTACAGCCATCAAGGGAGTAATGATGGTGGATAAGTGAAGAGAACCAAGGATTGAGTCTTAGGTTATTACACATCCAGGGCTCAGGTGGAAGCAGGGGGCCTAGCCAGAGAAATGGAAAGTGACCAGTAAATTAGAAGAAAAAAAGTCTATTATATTGGAAAAGCCATAGGAGAATGCATTAAGAAAAAGGGAAGAATAAATCAAGTCAGAAAATGATGAGAAATCTAGTAAATTAAAAAACAAGAATTGAGCATTAGATTTAATAATGGAGTGGTTATGTGCAATCATGACCTTGACAAAGGGTCTTCTATGACACATATTGTGAGGAATGGCAAAAACATAACCAGAACAATCTGGCAAAGAAGTGGAGGAGAACAGTTTGAAACAGACATCCCAGTCAAGGAGTTTTTGGCAAAGGAGGCAAAGACCTGGAATAATAGCAAAACAAGGTTTGGTTTTGCTTTTATTTCTCTTTTGTAATAGGAGAAAATATATGTAATTTCCCCCATCCCTCCCTCCTTCTCTTCTTAATGGGAACAACAGGAGAGAACAATTAATAGTGTAAGGGAGAAAGAAGTTCTGGAGAGAAGTGCCAATAAAAAAGTTGAAAAATTGACTTTAGAGAGTAATGGAGAATTAATTGATGGTAAAGGTTGAGGAGGCAGAGAATGTGAACTTAGGTGTTAGTAAGTAGGTAGAAGAGGGATAGGAGTCAATAGAATCCTTAATATCTCAATGAATTAGACGGTGAGATTGTTAACTGAGAAGGGGAGTGTGAAAGAAGGTCTTGGTGTTGCTTGTGAGAGGGGAAGACATAAAACAGTTGCCTAAGAAAAAATGAAAAAGAGCAAATGGGCTAAGAAGGAGAGTTACTGGGCATCATTAGAGGCTGATTTGAGATCCATGGGCATGCATTTAAAGAGGCCATTATTCAGGTTGTGTTTTGTTCCAGCTACATGCTGCTTTATGAACACAGGCACAGAGTAGAATGAACTGGATTAAACAGGGTTATAATTTTATCAGATAAACAGCACAAGCAGAGAGAGAGGCAGAGAAGTGTGTGTATGCCGTTGAATAGTAATAGCCCATCAGGCAATTTACTAGAGAAGGAGGGAAAAGACAAGGGACAGTTAAATTTTGTATAATTGATAAACTGGTGGGGGGTGGGGTGGTTCTGGAAAGACAAGGATAGTACTAAGTCAATGTTCTGCAGTAAATGAGTTAAAAAGAGGAAAGACACTGCTTGTTAAGAGAACTTAGCGTACAAAGCACGTGTTGCGGATAATGGAGGGTAACTAGTATGGAGGGTTACAAATTCTCAAACATGACCATAGGAATGAGTGGCTGAGGTGTGGTGGGAAACATTTTCAATGGAGGAAAGGAAATTAAG